GATTGATTTTTCTATTATTATTTTTAGCTCCTCCCAAGCGCATCACCAGCTGGTGTTTTGATGAAAAGATTTTCTTACAGTCACTGCACAAGGTAAATCTTATTGTTCAAAGTCAATTCTTTGCCTACTACCAACAAAACGTTGGTTCTGTTGCTTGTTGCATTCTACTACTATTCTGGCTCTTTAATCTTCTGATTTGATAATATATTCTAAGTAATTGTGAAATGCTGGTACTAGAATTCTTAGTGTGCTGAAAAGAAGATTTTTAATATTGCAGGTCTTGGTTTCAGTCTCTAAAAGTAGCTGCATCATTCTATACATCAGGGATGTCGAAAGGCTTCTTCTCCAGTCCTCCAGATTATGCAAATTGTTTGACAGAATGTTAAAGAAATTAACAGGATCAATCGTGGTACTTGGTTCCCGCATGTTGGATCCTGAAGATGATTGTGGTGATGTGGATGAGAGAATCAGTCTTTTATTTCCCTATGATATTGAGATTAGACCTCCTGAAGACGAGACTCATCTTGTGAGCTGGAAAGCTCAATTGGAGGAGGACATGAAAAAAATCCAGATTCAGGATAATAAAAATCATATTGCTGAGGTACTTGAAGCAAATGATCTTGTGTGTGATGATCTAGGATCAATCTGCCAAGCAGATACAGTGATTCTAAGTAATTATATAGAGGAAATTGTGGTTTCTGCAATATCTTATCATCTGATGAATAACAAGGATCCAGAATATCGCAATGGGAAGCTTCTTATATCATCTAAGAGGTACCCAGTAAACTATGGCGTACTTGGTTTTGTTTAGATTTACACATCCTGTTTCTGATGCTTACACGCTCTGGTACAGTTTGTCCCATGGCTTGAGTATCTTCCAGGAGGGAAAAGGTGGTAAAGACACTATCAAGCTGGAGGCAAGCGCTGAATCTTCCAAGGTCAGTTTGCGTCTTGATATCAGATATTTACTCAGGAAGTGTTCCAAGAATGTAAATATTGACAAGGTTAATAGTTCTTTTTCTCATCAATGATAGGGTCCTGAAGGGGAGGAGAATGTTGGCTTGAAGTCTGAACCAAACCCCACATCCGAAAACAAAACTGAGACTGAAAAATCAGTTCCAAAGAAGGATGGTGAAAATCCACCTGCACCGAAAGCTCCTGTAAGTCTAATCGTGTGGTATTAGATCCTTGAAAAGGGAGACAATGCCACCAGTTCATGTTGGATGCTGCTCCTATATGTTTCTCCATGTCTTCTATACTTCTCTTCCATAAATTTCAAGTTTGTTGGAAAATGGGCTAGGTTTCAACCTTAGGTGATGTTTTCTGGTCAGAGAATGCATCACTTCACGCTAAATTAATATCACACAGCAGAGAAGTTAGAGGCATAAATAGCAATTTCAGACAGTTTAACATGAACTTTATGCCTAGTGTTCAATCCACAAACTACTCTTTCATTCATTTTCTCTTATTGAAACTTCTTGTGTACTTTAAACTACAGGATGTGCCTCCAGACAATGAATTTGAGAAACGTATAAGGCCTGAGGTTATTCCTGCAAACGAGATTGGCGTGACATTTGCAGACATTGGTGCTCTGGATGAGATTAAAGAATCACTTCAAGAGCTTGTGATGCTTCCTCTCCGAAGACCAGACCTCTTCCAAGGGGGTCTTCTAAAGCCTTGTAGAGGCATATTGCTCTTTGGGCCTCCTGGTACTGGAAAGACAATGCTGGCAAAGGCCATTGCGAATGAAGCTGGAGCAAGTTTCATAAATGTATCAATGTCAACAATTACTTCAAAATGGTTTGGTGAAGACGAAAAAAATGTCAGAGCTCTTTTCACACTTGCAGCAAAGGTTTCTCCTACCATCATTTTTGTGGATGAGGTTGATAGCATGCTTGGCCAGAGAACCAGAGTTGGGGAACATGAGGCTATGCGGAAGATTAAGAATGAGTTCATGAGCCATTGGGATGGCCTATTGACTAAGCCTGGTGAAAGAATTCTTGTTCTGGCAGCAACTAACAGGCCATTTGATCTTGATGAAGCAATAATTAGGCGGTTTGAACGCAGGTATATTCATAGTTACACCTTTTTTGGATTTCACGTTGTCAAATGTCAAAGCTGATTCTATCACTACTAACTTCATCTGGAATGTTGTTGTCCATGAAAGTGAAAGCAAGATGAGAAATTGTTTTGGTTTATGTTATATGTTGTGTGTTGTTTACCACCAGTTCTCGTTGTGAAGAATGAAGACTGAGTTGTAACTTCTCGTTTCATATATTTGAGCAATTCATGACGCGTTTTTGTGTATCTGGTTCTGGATTTTACTCGGTTTCTGCTTTACAGGATCATGGTTGGTCTTCCTTCTGTGGAGAGCAGAGAAATGATCTTGAGAACTCTTCTGTCAAAGGAGAAGGTAGAAGACCTAGATTTTAAGGAGCTTGCAGCCATGACTGAAGGATATAGTGGAAGTGATCTCAAGGTTTGTTTTGGCACGTATGAAGTTTCTGGATTGCAAATTTTTGTAATCTTATACGAGCTTTTCATTTTCTCCTGAAAGCAGAATTTGTGCATTACTGCGGCTTATCGACCAGTGAGAGAGCTGATTCAACAGGAGAGAAAGAAGGATATGGTATTCTTATGCAAAGTTCTTGCACTTCGCTTCCTAAGATACAGTTTGGCTAGTTTTTTTTTTTCTTAATGTTTATGTTGATTTTCTTTTTCCTTCTTTCCCTGTGTAGGAGAAAAAACAGAGAGCTGAAGAAGGGCAGAGCTCTGAAGATGCTGATGACAGAAATGAGGAAGCAAAAGAAGAAAGCGTTATTGCTCTGAGGCCCTTAAACATGGGAGACATAAGACAGGCCAAGAATCAGGTAATAGTACTAGCTTTCATCTTGTCATATGGAGCAAGTTTGTTTTTTAAACCATATCTGCTGTGAAAAATTTGTGTCCATTTGTTCTCCAATGTGCAAAAGTTTCTCCTCTCTTTTCTTCTGATAGTTTTGCATTCTTGTGTAGGAAGATGAGTAGTTAAATAGTTCCCAAAGATAGGTTTAGCCGAGTGTTTCTTTCATGTCCCCATGCCAAGTAGATTGGGAGTTTTAGCATACTATATGACTGCATTTTGAGTTATCCTTGGGTCATTTATAAAATGTGTGGTGCCCTGAAATGGGAAATAGTACTCTAGGGGAACTCTGAGGATACGGGAAATCTACTCAAACCACACGGACGAGTCTGGAGGTATTCTGCGATGAGGTGAAGATGTGGCCATCCGATGTTCCTCCCATGATCTTGTAAAATACAATTCTTACTTATTCACAACTATTAAAGGACCTACTTAAAAGTCCTGACACGCGAAAGCAAAAAAATAGGACTCATGAGCCAGCTTCATCTTTTGTTTTCCCTGGTAACTGTGTACCATTTTCTTCTCAAAGAGCATGTCCTTCGTATCACTTTAATTTGCCAAATTTGGTAGGACTGAGGCATTCCTGTCCCTTGATCATCTTGACTTCCAGTAACAGTAGTAGGAATCTAGTTTGGCAGCAATATGTCAACGCTACTCGTTTTTTGTTTCCATTTTTCACATTTTTTTTTCCTTCTCTTTTGAGCATGTGACCTTTTTTTTCACAGTATTACGCAAAATTTTTTTTTTGTCATGTAAAACCTCTTGAGGATATTTTGCAATTGCAGGTTGCTGCCAGTTTTGCTTCCGAGGGTTCTATCATGGCTGAGCTGAAGCAATGGAATGATCTATATGGTGAAGGAGGTTCAAGGAAGAAGCAACAGTTGTCTTACTTCCTTTAGGTCACTGGCTGCCTGCATATACAGACGCTTGTTACTTAAATCCTTTCCTGTTTGGTGATACTCTGAATCAGCAGAAGGCTGGGGAACCAGGAAACCCCATTGTCCCAGAATAGCGCAGCATGGAAGTGGTGAAAGCTGTCACCGCCGCAATGAATAACTCTTGATCGCCCCAGAAGAATTTGAATGGTCACAAAATTCTCCAAGCATTTCGGTTGCCCTTTTGAAACCCACTCTTGAAAGAGGAGAAAAGAAGAAATGCTAACAACTATGTTCGATATTGGCTGAACCACGTTAGCTCTTCGGAGTGGAGGCTGTTGAAGATGTTCTTGTGTGGTTTTTTTGTAGGCTTGAGACGTGGTTTTTTGGTGATTTGGGGGGAAAGAGGGGGGGGGGGGGGGTTGGGGAAGGGTATGCGCATTTGTTAGTCTGTTTATTTTGTTGACTCGACTGTGATAGATTCGATGAAAAGCGGATAGTCCATTCGTCGTGTAAATTTACTGTTGCATTTTGGTAGTATTCTTTTTGCATTAACTCCAAGCAAAATCAGTAGGAAAGCGTCATACTTCTCATGTACAAAGGATAAACTCTTTTTTATTTTATCGGATTCTTGAATCACCAGCATTATACGAATATATGATTGGTTTTATGTGAAGCGTGAAATTCAAGATGGATAGGATTATTGGTGTTTGATCTGATAAGAGTGGTGTTTTAGCCTTCAGGAGGCTATTACTGGTCACTGACCAATATTTCTAGCTCCGCCACTGCAAGAATTTCTATAAATAGATGTATAATTTCTAGTGATGTAGATCAAATAGCACCGGACGACTTCCAACAATTTGTCAATGAAATCTGCTTTTTATCCAAAAAAAAAAAAAGATTACTCGCATTGCCTTGCTAAAGATTCAATCACATCGAAACCAACCACCCTTGTGCTTTGAAAATTTTCCAATCAAATGCAATTGGGTCGGGCAGTCCAATTTTGTAAGTGATCCGTCTCGCTTGATTTCTGCAAAGTGACCAAATTAACTATACCTCCAATTTCCTCTCTTTGGCCCTTAGCACTTTGCAAATCTTATTCCAAATTGGCAATTGTTTGTTACGTGCCACCAAGTCTATGCCTCGTCAAATTTGTCTTCAGCATTTCGTTCTCCTCGCGTATTTCAGCATCAGCATTTTCTCTCGACCTATGTACGGCATTTCTCGCGAACCCTTTGACTTACTGGCATGTCTTGGCATCAATCCACTGAAATAGCACTACTAATTCACAAGCACCCATCTAAAATTTCTAAGCTTTTTGTTAATCTCTCCTCCTGAAATTTAAAACCCAACAAGAAATTCTTGAATAAACATCACCTTGTAATTTCTACATCCTATGAATTTCTCCCAAGGGTTGTTTGCCGTCTAAGACGTTTTTCTCTTTTTTACTGGAGATGTCTGGCCCCAATGGCAAGTCACAGATGACTTTGATCCTATCGAAATGACTGAATTCTTCGGGATGTTCAAGTCACATTAATCAGTCTTTGGCAACTCTTGGTTACTGGTAATTGAATTTTTATTTTCAGTTCTTCCAGTTTCTCAATAGAAGAATGAGGGATTTCGCCCGAACAAGAAGATGAAGTTTTCGTTTTGTCTGGTGTTATTTGTATTACTGTACTATTATATGTTTGACCAGGGGTATTTTAGGAATCAAAGTGATAGAGAATAATGACGGGTGCACAGGATCGCATCAACTGTACAAATTGGACTGCCGCCGAGCGCCGACTTACATGCACTGGATTGGGAATTTTTTCAATAGCACAAGGATGGATTGATTGGTGCAATTCAACCTTCGGGAAGGGGGCAAGGTAGGAAAAGAGTAACATCGGTGTCGGAATTCTTTAAAATTTCCCCGAAAGGACGATTCTGAGAAATTAGACAGCTGTTCAAGAGTCGGTGTGGGATGGCTTTCGTCTGCTTCGCTTGACAAAATTGTAGGGCAGCTCGGTGTTTGATATTGATCGCTTAATTTTGTTGGGTTTTTGTTTTTGGCTTTGGGATTACTGAATTTCTCAAGATCAAATGGGATGTCCGAAAGAAAGATATGAAGAACTTAAGCTACACGAGTCCTTAACAAATCAAAGCTGCTCTCGTTACCCATTGGCCTGCAAGGAGCTGGCATTTATCCTCAGAAAAGCCTACTCTAAAGCCCCAAAAAATCTGCAATCTTTGCTCTTCCAGGACACCCTCGATGCCTTCCGCCTCCTCCCACAGTAATTAAATCTCCTTGCACTATTATTACCTTTTGTTTCCCCATTACCTACTGGAACATTCAACTCAGTTTTCGTCTCTTCTTTTGTGCTTTTGCTATTCCAGATTCTGTTTTGGTTTTGTTAGTGATTTGAATTGATTGCTACTTGTACCAGATATAAATTGGGCCCTTTTTCAAATTTTGATTCTGAAGGTGATGTCACTGCATATTTGGCTGAAACTCGGAGAAATTAAAATCACCCGTTCTCAATATAGGCACTAAGGATGAAAGTTTGTGGCTTTTTTTTAAAATATTTTTCTACAGTAGCATTTTCATTCTGAGCAGGTGTCAAGAGAGAAGTTAGAGGCTAATGGCTTATCATATTGCTGTGCACAATAAGATAGTAGCTGTTACATGGATTTCTGGGTGGCAGTATTTGATAACTTTCCAATGCAATTTTGCAAAAGTCAAAAACTATTTCCAATGCAATTTTGCACAAGTCAAAAACTATCTCGTAGAATCATCGTGTTGCATTTTCAAAAATGAAAAAGCAAAAACAGAGGGATGGCCTTGAATTGGACGCTGATTTATAGCAAGTACAGAGGAGTTTAGTGATCATTGTTTGTCATGGTAATATTTTTGTGTGAACTACCAAGACATAATCAAGCCCTCTTACCCGCAGTTAGGTTGATCTGGGAGTTCCCTTGCTGCACATGAATTAGTACTTAGGATTGAAGAGCAACATTTCTTATGTGAATAATTTGTTTAAACTATAGGGTACAGTCGCAAAATGCCATCTCAGCAGCTAATCTCCTCCTCCAGAATGCCGAGTCTACTCTTCCAAAACAAAAGAAGGTGTTGGCAGTCACAGAATTCAAACATGCCATCGTATCTTCTAAGAGGCGTAATAAGGCCCAGCAAGAGGAAGAAGGTATTTTTAACTGAGAATATACTGTGTTGTGTGAGAAACATAAACATGGTGAATCTTTTTCTTGAGAAAGAAAACAATCTTGAAATTTGTTATTAATTGTTGTCGTGTTCATTTTTTCAAAGATGCCTGGAATTTTGTCCAGCTAGTGAACATAATTCCATCACTGACCTGAATAACAAGTTAATGACATGCATCTCGTTGCTGAGATATTGTACAACCATGTACTTGTACCTTGTTTTCCTGCAAGACTCTCGTTGCTTGTTCATCATAGGCTCGTATACCTGTGTTGAATGCTGTGTCAATGTGTAGTTGAGGAAAGTGGCAGAAAAGTGACCTGTAGGTAAAAATAAATAAATAAATAAATTATTTGTGCTTCTTGGACATCCTACGCTAAAATAGGTAGGATCTTCCATTGTAGACATCCAATCACACCAAATTTTTGCTTAGTAGCCGATGGTTATATAAATCTTGCAAATTCTTTTATTGGCTCATATTGGTTTGCCATGTTACTAATTTTGTGGTGCTGTTTCAGGCCCATGCCAGTTTCCTGAAGATATCCTTATACATGTCTTCAGTTACTTAGATTTGCAGTCTTTAGTTTCAGCTGCAATGGTCTGCAGGTACTTTCCCTTTAGGCCGTAACATTTTCTTTGTGACCAAGAACTTAGGTTCACATATTTGGTATTTGATGTTACACATGATTTCAGTTATGATCCATCATTTGACAGTTACTCCGCGGTATGGTCAATTTGCAGGTCATGGAGTTCTGCAGCAGGTGACAACCATCTATGGGAGTCACTGTATGTCAACTTCTTTGGTGGTTCTGATAAATACACTGATACAGTAACTGGAAGTGACATCTGTATCAGAGAAAACTTCAAGAGAGTGTATCAAGGTAGGTCTGAACTTTTTGTAAAAAGGAGAACGATGTTCTGGCTCATGTTTTGTTTGACAAGAAGAGAATTTTAAGGTGCTTGAAAGTAATTGAAATCCTAGTTAGGCTTGAAGTATTTTATCTCTAATGTCCTCTGGTGAATTATGATCTGTGTTATTTGGTTCCAACAATTATTGGCATTGCTCACAATCACAATGAATATACTCTTTCATGAGTTCCAAGGTGTTGTACGAGCCTGTTCCAGCAGTCCCCCCACATACGGGTGTGCAGTGTGATCGTGAAGGGCATGTTTTACAGCACTGTTTTTGTTTCCCAGTTGGTTTTCCTATATGCATTTTCTCTTTAGAAGTCACAACCATGTTTTTCATTTCAGAAGTATCGTCGAAGAAAGTTGCACCATACAGGGGCTACTGTTGGCACTGTAGTTCAATAGTGTGGCTCACCGACACTAGATGTTATAATACACATATTGGACGAGATTGCACAAATCCCAAAGTTATTCCAGTTTCAATGGCTCAGGTAATTATAGATGCCTAAGTTTGCTCCGTGTTGTTTGACTGTCACCCACCATAGCATGTTGTAAAACTTAAGGGCCCCTATGGATTGGGTGTTTTTGGAGCTTCGAAGCTTTACTGTAGATCTACATTGTGAAAAACTTTATTTATGTGATATGTTTTGGGGGTGTTTTTAAAGTTTCAAAATTTTTGGGGAATTTTTAAAATTTAGTTTTCCCCTCCCACTGTGTCAACCCTCCCTACCGGCTACCAGCCCTCTCCTCCAATCTAGAGAACGGGTGAAGATGCGTGCATGTTAGTGTGTGTTTTGCGCTTTTTTGGGGTTATTTTTGGGCATGTTTGTTAGGTGTATTAGGGTTGTTTTTGGTGCATTTATTAGGTATTTTTAGAGATGATACCGTAGAAAAATTAGTTTTTCCCAAAAAAGGTTATGATTCTATGCGATAACTCTATTTGTTTATGAGCATTACTAAATGTCATTACCCTCCGATGTACAAGATATTTTGCTTAAGTTGGAGAGGTTTTGTAAAATGCAGATTGTTGACTACGTATTGTACGATTCTCTTCCATCAGAATCTTCTTCAGACAGTAGTGATGGTGATATAGATGACCTGTGTGTTCTTAAGATGTGGGCGTATGCCAAGTAAATCGGCCAACCTCTTCTGTGGCATGGCAGTACAGACATAATAGAAGGTGAATGTATATTTTTTGACAACAGAATGGTGAATAATTAAATTCTGAATCCCATTCGTACCTTCACACTAGGACCTTCGTTGCTATATTGGTTCTGTAAATGGAACATTATCAGATTGTGGTGCATCTGATTAGTAATGCATGACCTCTCAGTTCCTTCATCCTCTGTACTCTATCAGCTTGGTTCTTGATGCTTTCAACTATCCGCTTCACCCCTGGTCTCACTTATCCGAATCCCCTTTGATAATTATTCCATCGTAAACACACTTCAAATGTGAAGAAATTGCTCAATAACTCGAGACCCTTCAGTGTACAATTTCAGCTTTTTAAGTTCCTTCGGCACCCAAAGACGACTTTCCTCAAACGTAAATGCGCAAGCATTTCGAACGCAGAATGCAATTGTGAAAGCCACTTTGAATTTGCATCTTAAAATTCTAGGAGAAACATTTATTGAGTGGCGAATATTTGTGTACAGGAAAGGAGTTAGCCAAGTCATAAATGATTTTGTAACTTCTTTTGTTGATATGGTACGGTAGTTGAAACTTGAGAGTAGACAAAAGAATTTCAGAAGGCATAAGCAGAATTGCAAACCTCGCTTTGACGTTTAGCCTTCCCTGACCTACCCTGTAAGCGTTCCCCTGACAGGTCCAATGTCAGTCGAAATTTACCATTGGAAAAATGATAGGTTCTGCGTTGCATCCGCGAAGGCTACAGTTATTTGAAACGAAATGCATACCATCCTAAGAACAGAGTAGAACGTTTCTCTTCTAAAATGGTCTCTCTCTGTCTCTCGGCTTGGATATGGTTCGAACTTTCATTCGCTTATTATCCTAATGCCATCCCCAGCCAGCTCTCTTTTGTTTTTCACGCCAAAATCGAGCAGGCATTCCGTTTGCTTAAAGGCCATTTTTGTCAAACCAAAGGCCCAGCGAAACTGTCTTCCGATAGAGTCAGCCACTTGCACCAGTACATCAACAGACGCTACCGCATTTGAACGACAGCAATAAAATGAAAAACCTAAAAAAATTTTTAAGTTAATTTATACACACTATCAGTATGTACATTTTACTAATATATAACACACATGTAAAATTTAAATTAAATAATACACATACCATCAATGTGCATAAAAAATTAATTCAGTTTTTTTAATTGTAAAATATTTTGGAAATGGCGGGAATTCACAATAGAAAGGCAAAACAAGGCTATTTTTCAAAACATCTTCCAGAAAAGAAACATGGGCCCCGGCCCATGTCACAAAATACAAGAACATCCAAACGGTAGCGAAGAGATTTAAGTGGTTCATTTCGGAAGGGAACCCAAGATGAGCACAGATCAAAACTTCGCCACTCATTTGTCCAAGTATAATAAAGCAACAGAAAAAAAAAAACTATCTAAAAGGGGAACCGATTTAAAACATAATTTACTCTCAGCATGCACAGCGAACAATCCATGGAAACGGCTGTGTCAAAACAATATTAGAACTCAACTACCAACCATACCATATTCTTTCGAACTATTAAGAGCGCGTAAGCATCTGCTCTAAAGATTGTAACAGGTCACAACAACATGTAGAGAAACACTTCAATTGGATGGCATCACCATTCACCACCTCAACATGTCTAGACAAACTTTTTGTCTTTCAGGGGACCTCTTGGAATTTTGCTCAATACCTTGGCGTTGAAAACAGCATACTGCTTCTTGATCTCTGCCTCAGCTTTCTCAGCAAAGGAATCAACTTGATCCTCATATTTCTCATAGAGGACGGGCACTGTGTGCAGCAGAATGAATGCTGTTTTGAACAAAAGGGAAACAGAACCGGATCAGAACAACAAGTAAATAACAAAACCAGACAGACAAGTAGTGTAAATGAAGTGCTACTTAAGAAACTATTACTTACATATGTAAAACAAGGTCAGGAAATTGCAGCAACTCCCAAGAATTGAAAATACCCACAAGCCAGCAATCACCTGAAACACAAAAGGTTCCATTCAGCAAAAAGATTTATAATATTGCACTCCGGTTGGTGGAGGGCCTAAATTTCCATCCCCATTAAAATGAATCTTCTCCCTCCAATTTGTTCCAAGGTTTGGTTCTGTGGGAGTCAAATTCAGTCCTAACACTAATGAATCCAGATATTAGTTAAAACACAAACAATGGAAGATAACATACTGCAAGGAATTTTTTCAAATCTCTCCCAGATGCAATTTCACGTAGGGCAGCAAGTGCTCTATTGACTTCAATTCTAAGAGCAGAAGCCACACCCAGAACTATGTCTTCAGGAAGAATGACTTCTGGAAATTGTGGTGGTGACCTAATAAGTGAAAGATCAAGTTAATTCTCTGACAAACCCAAATAGAAACAGTAGAAAGTACCACAAATGTCTACAAACATACTTGTTAATGAAGGTGGAAGCATTTGACCAAAGAAACAGGACTGCTAGTGCAAGAATCAGAATGTGGCAAACTAGAGTGAGCAAGTAGTATTCAAGCAATTCAAAAAGCACCCAAATTGCTGTCACAACACCGAGCACACTAGCAGAAATCTTCTTATCCCTCCAAAGGAAAACATCAGCGGCTGTCAGATAAGAATATTCCCACGTCAGAATCTATGAGAACATGATTGTGCTTTTGCATATAAACATTTGAAATACATGCAGAAGAGAAGCTACAACATGAGAAAAAAGAACAAAAAATAGAAAGCAGGGGGAAAAAGTTCCACCCGAAATAATCAACCACATTGCAACAAAATGCTATTACCACTTCTTTTTTCTTGCATGAAGCAATGAACCACCTTCAAATGCTTGATATCGAAATCATGTAATGACCTATGTGGGCTAAGAAAAAAGCCCTTCCACAGTCTATATGCTTAAAATGTAAAACTCTAAATAAAAACACATTTGCAGGTGGACTACATGCAAGCTGTATAAACAAAGGAGAATGCTATTGACGCACGATAACATCTCATTATGTCATCTATAATGTATGAAGAGGGTCGCAAACATAGATCTATCATCCTATTTTCACTCATCAGGCATTCTTGTAATTCAAATTTGAATCTGTAAGATTGCATTTGCACCAATTGAAACTTTAAAGTTGATAAGAACAATCTGATCCAGGAATTTGTTTGCAGATTTTCAAAACAAAAATGATGCAGGATATGAGCATAAGCCAAATGACGATAAAAATTGGTGCTAGTCATAAGTCTTCGCACAAAGCATTAAATCGAACAAATTGGAGCGGTATTTTACAATAAGAACAAAACCACGACATAGCTCTTAATCATCTGAAAATCGGCGATTCTCAATCAACCAAGATAATTAGCAGTATTATACGCATAAAATAAGATACAGTAAATCGTGGGCCAATGTAGGGAAAAACTATGTAGATTTGAACGATCCAATAAAACCAGGTATGCCCAAACCCTGGGCACGTCCTCTCTCTTATTTAAACCCAATTCTCAAATTCACGTAATTAAATGTGTAGATACAAAAATTTAGAGAGTTATAAGATGAATAGGATAATTCCGTACGTTTACCGCCGCCTAGGACCTTATGAACGGGCTTCTCACGGCCGAAGAGGCGATAGATCTTGGCCTTGATATCTTTGGACGGCGGCTTCTTATCCTTACTATCGTCATCGGAATCTGAGGAGGAAGAATCGTGACTGTGAAATTTCTCAGTGATCTTCTCCTTCACAGTTTCGACTACTGAATCGTGTTCACCAGCATGTTCGGCCATTGCTTCGATGGATCACCGATTCTGCTGTAGTCGCCGGTGTGGAGATCTCTCGATCAGTGCCTTTTGCCCTCCCGCAGGGCTGTGTGCTCTTTTCAGTGAGACTGCGGTTTTCCGGCTTTTGATCTGCTTTTGAATATCCGGTTGTGTGATATTTCGGGGGGGCTAAAAATGGGAAAATCTCCGAGCCTGAGGTTCGGGTTTTGAAACGAACCTGGTGGTTCGGAAAATATCGTTAATCGATGAAGATCGGAACGGCCTTTTTAACGACGTTAGGTGTGGAGCACAACGGCCTTTTTAACCCGACTTTTTTCTTGTGTGTACTTTCATCCTCTATTGGGTTTTTTTTTTTTTTTTTATAAAAGTTCCAAACTCAAATCGTAGTATTTTTTATGCGGCTTATATATATTTTTTGAACAGAACTCGGTTGATTTATTAATATAATAAAATAAACACAACTTTAGCAACCAGTACACAGGAACAACAATTATTATATATTTTTAATATTTGTTTGTATTAATAGATTTGAATTATTTTATACTTATCGATAATTCATATTGCAGTTATTGAGATGTTAAATATATTTATGTAACAATTATTTTAAACTTAAAAAAGACACAATCATTAAATTAGATATTATATTGCAATCATGTGAAACTTGTTTCTTGACAATATTATATATATATAAAAAAAAGAAAATTGTCTTTAAAAAGCGACGAAATATTTTTTTTTAAAAAAGAAAGCACGGTAGTCTTTAAAAAGAAATTAAATGCATAGAAGTAAATTGTCAAACGGCGTCAAAGTGCGGTTTGTCGGGACGTGTATGCTCCGAGCCATTGGTTTACGCAGGGTAGTATCCATCCAACCGTGTCAGAATTTTGCGAGGCCCAAATCAAACTTGCAGTTCTGCGGAAGCAGGACAATGAGGAGGGGTGGACCGATTTGCAAAGCATTTGGGCCTCAAGATTGGGATTAACAGTGGAAAACCCAAAAAAAAATATGGACATCATTCGTCTGAAGTTTTTTTTTTTGGGAAGGATCATTCATCTAAAGTTCAATTCCATTTTCCGTCTGTCTGAAAATTACAAGTAATTATCTTGATGAATAAGAAGTTGAAACTATTAAACTATAATGAGGAAAAAAAAACATAAAATTACTATTTGATACTGGAATTTTTATCGCTACATTTTTACTACTAATAAAACTAACACACGGATGTCTTCACTAGGGCTGCAAACGAGCCGAGTCGAGTCGAGTTTTGAGCTAATCGAGCCGAGCCTCGATTAAATTTTACCAAGCTCGAGCTCGAGCTCGAGCTGGACGAGCTGGCAATTTTCGAGCTCGAGCTCGAAAAAAATAAAAAAAAAAATTATTTTATTTTTAAAAAAATAAAAAAATAATATTTTTTTCTGAATAAATAATAAAATATTAAGGATATATAGGTAATTTCACTATGAAAATAAAAAATTAAAATATATTTATATACAATATACGTAATTTTATTATTAAATAAAAATAAAATATATATATAAATATATATACTCAAGCTCGCGAGCTAACGAGCTTAATATTCTGAGCTCGAGTTCGAGCTCGAGTTTGACTCGAGCTGGCTCGAGCTCGACTCGAGCTGGCTCGAGCTCGACTCGAGCTTGACTTGAGCCGCTCGCGAGCGGCTCGATTCGTTTGCAGCCCTAGTCTTCACCATCTTCCAATTGTTCTGCACATATATTTTCTTAATATTTTCCTTAACCACTTTATGTAACTAAATTGAATTAAATCATTCTTAAAGTGTTGAGATTTATAAAATATGAAGTGTAGATTACGTATAATTTGTTCTACAACCAACAATTCCTTTTTGGGGTTTCCACTATTAATTTTGGGGTCATCCAAAGTTAGAAAAAAAAAAAAAAAAAAAAAAAAAAGAGTTTTCATGGTATCAAGAATGAAGATGATTTTCAACCCTTGGTCTTCCAATTGAGTGTTGAAAGAGAAAGTTGTAATCTTTAAATTTTAGAAATTAGATAGTAATGTTAAATATGAAACCCGGCCCATATCAGCTGTTTTACTGGGAGCAACCTTCATCCCAAGGATGCTTATATGGTGCAACCAGTTAGGCACAAAGTAGAACAGCTGCGGTTTAGGAAATATAAGAGGAAAAAAATCCTGAATTTTCCTCGTTTAGGAGTTTTAATTGGAAAGAAAAGAAAAGAGAGATGAATTGGGCTCCAAATTTGGAATGGAAAGGAAAGGAATAAAAGTTTGGCTTATACCTTGTAAACTTTATCAATATGCTAATTTCATCCATAACATGGTAAAGAGCAAAATAATAGTACCCAATGAATCCAAAATTAATCATTTTTTCCATCTAAACTCCCATTCAACATGGAATAAAGAACTCATATCTTTTCTTTTATGCTCCTCAGATATTATATTCTACGGGAAATACAACCGACAATTAATTCAAGCATTTGCTATCTTTAAAAGAAGGGGGTAAAAAAAAAAAAAAAAAACCAAACATTTGTTATCTGCAAAGCGTGGTATCTGATCATCCTTTAGCAGGCAGAGTAACCTAAAGCATTCTCAATAGTTACTAATTCAATTTACCCACAGTACAGGCCAATTATAATCAATTTACTATACACACGTGCCTCTATTTGTCCCATCCCCCCCCCCCCCCCCAAACAAAAACAAAAAAAAAAAAAAAAAAAGATTGTGCCTCTGTACATGTAAATTTCATTCCTGAAAAGAAGATCAAGAAAAGTAAGAGTATAGAAATTACCGCAGAAAACCGGATGCTAACTATTGCTGGAGCCATTGCCAAGACAGTTTCTTTACCCAGAAGCACGAAGAACTTCCGAATGGAATACTCAGTGGCTTGGAAAACAAAAAGAAGGCATATCCCACAATTTTATTCGGGTATATCCACATTTTTGTGCACTAGCCACAGGGAACATTTCCGAGAATATGCTTTGGAATAGAATTTAGGGATAATATCAGAAACCTCCCCTGAAGTTTCTAGCAATTTCACTTAGCTCTCCTGATATTTGAAAAATTGCACATACCTCCCTTGTCATTTAAAATGATAATTTTACTCTTACATATTTTAATGAAATTTTCTTATTTGGTATGATTATATTTAGAACGAGTTTTAAACTTATTTTGTCATTCTTTTTCCTTCTTATTCCTTTTTTAAAATTTTTTGCCAATAAAACTGTAGAACTATCTCTAAAAAAATGTAATTTTTTTTGACCAAATGTCGAACTAGTTATTTTTTTGACGAGTTAGTTTTATATGTAATCCAATGTTTTTGCTAATCTTTGTTTTCTATTTTTTGGTATCAAAAATAAATTGTCTAAAAACACTACTAAATTATGATAATCCCATTAGTCCAAAAATTTATAAACTCTAAATAAATTATTTCAACATTTTATTTTCTATCTTATAAATCCAAATTCATAATAAAACACCATAAAAAATATCATATCATAGTAATAAAATTATTATTATAGTTGTTTATCAAATAGTAGGTATGAACATAAAAAATTTAGCACATTTTCCTTATAATTATACTAAATATAACTCATTCTACAAGGACATTTTGGGGTATTGATTTAAAAAATTGTCCAGGTCAATATTATTTTAAGATTTTGTTACTAAAATTATCAAATCAATGGAGGTAAGTTTAATTTTCCAAACCTTATGAGAATTCAGTGAAATTGTCAGAAACCTCGAGGGATGTTTCTGAATTATCCCTAGAATTTATTCAAAGTAGGAATAGATATAAAATATGCTTTCGAGGTCAAGGGCTTAATTTATAGTAGAAATAGATGTAGAGTAGAATATATCATACCAACAAGAAAGAAAAAAAAAAAAAATATGCTTTGGAAGAGTGTCAAAGGTCGCTTAGTAGTATTAAATTGGTCAAGTTTCCGTCCATAGCTAGGCTAGACCATTCCAGTCTGATATGGTCCATGTAAATCGCTTGCCTAAAAGTCCTCATACATCAGGATTCAGGGCCCAAAAAAATTATCCTTATCCAGTCCTTGGTGGCGGAGAAACTATTGTATTAAAGTACCGATTTTTCCAATGAAATCCAGTGGGCTCGGATCCATTCTTTACCCTCATTAGTTTAAGCCCAATTGTTACCGAATTGCAAACGATAGGCGGTTCATTGTGGACATGCATGCATGGACTACCAGCATTGGATCTCTCGGGTTTATACATATAGCTGTCTTTGACTTTAACAAGCATTTTGTGCATGCCTTGGTACGGTCTTTTATTATTATTATTATTATTATGAACTTGTGTAAGTATAAATAATTTGAATAAAGAAATTAATAATGATTCTATATGTTTATTTATATTAATTTTAAAAAATTGATGTATTCTAATGTTAAACATCATAGTAAATTTTTTTTTAAAAAAACTTCTTTATGTTTTTTTACTATTATACAGTAGTTTTTATCAAATATTATACCACATGTCAAAAAATTGACAGATATTCCTTTTTTTATAGATATTCTTTTTTTAAATTATTTTATAATGACCATAAAACCTAGTTATGTATTCGTACTTAATTAAGGACAAAAGATCTAGCATTTTGTTTTCTACATCAATAAATATTCAGTTTTCAATAATATTGATAAATCTATCAGTGTAACAATTAAAGCTCATTTGTATGGATAGAAAATTATATGAATTTTGTCACAAAAATGATATCATTAAAGAGAGAGGAAGCATAAGAATAAATAATTCAATCAAGTTATGGTATTACTTGTCGAAATTTTAAATTTTGATAACCCTTTTCAAAAAAAAAAAATTATATGTATATCTTTTTTTTTTGGGTTGTAGACACAGTTTTATAATTCATACACAATTTGGCATTGCAATCACACGTGATTGAAACTAAAAATTAGAAATACTAGATTCAAATCCATCTTCTCTCTCATCGCTTCTTAAATTCCTATCCCTCCCTGATAAAATTTTTATAAATAGAATAAAAAAGATTGAAACCTCAACTCGTACTCTTCGACCCATACAAAGTGCTCGTTCTCATTTGCTTAAGATTTTGTCAAAGTCAGATTATGGAAAGTGATTATAAAGTAGTACAATCAGAATAAGTAAAAATTATTCTTTGCTAAATTATGAAATTTAGCTCTTT